CACCGACGACGACGAGATGATAACGAACTAAAACTCTTTTTAAATGACAAAAACTATGACGTAAATCTATTGACATTTTCGTCAACGAATAAAAACGAGACGAAAATGTTAGGGAGGGACGATTTGGGATGAGATTCATTCATAACGAATCTGCTGCGTGGCTAGGAGGTTATGCGTACATATGAACGGGCGGGACATAAGCTAAAATACACTTGCTGCACATCGCATAAAACGTTCAAAAAATGTCAATATGTGGGAGTAAGAGAAGAGCAGACATATGGATAAATCTGACGACGCAAGAGAGAGAACTCAATTCGGTTTTCTCAGTGCAGACACTATTCACACAAAACGCGTCTCACAGCGCGCGAGTACTCTTTCGTGTCGCATGAACGGAGAATTACACACAAAATTATGTCCAGTTGTCCGTTTTGACGAGTATTCATGTACACACAGTTGATTATGTCTTAAGTGAACGTAAACAGTAGCAGGAAACAGGAAGAACGTGTATTCAGTACATTGCATCCATTGCAGCCGTGCATTCGGTTTTAAAGGGACAGCAGCCTAATTAATCTAAATTTATTTATTGAAATAAATATGTCTGCTTGAAAGACTGAAGAATATGGTAAACAAGTTGCTATAAAGAATGCATAATTAGCCTATATAACAGGGGTGCCCAAACTTGGTCCTGGAGGGCCGATGTCCTGCAGAGTTTAGATCCAACCAAAATGTGACACACCTGAACCAGCTAATCAAGCTCTTACTATGCATACTAGAATCTTCCCGGCAGATGTGTTGAGGCAAGTTGGAGCTAAACTCTGCAGGACACCGGCCCTCCAGGAACGAGTTTGGGCACCCCTGCTATATAACCATTGGTATTTCATTAAAAAGAAGACCATGTTCTTGTTCTTCGTGAGAAGTGGTTTTATTTACTTTTAACATAAAGGTATGTTGTGTGTCACCGCAGTTAAATCAGTGTCTATCATGATAAAAAGGGCACATAGTGGCTACTACATGGCTAATAGGATTATGTCCCTAAGAGGTGGGGTGTAAACACACCGGCTCTGTCTCAAAAACCTACTGAGCTACCTAGTTACACAACGTTTTAGGACATTATAAGCGCATTTCGGGGCAGCCGGTTCGCACACCGAAACACTTATCAGACTCCTGAGATGGCCATCATGGCCAAAGTTGCATGCAGCACGCGCCTTGTCTATGATTAACAATTGCTTTCTAGTTAGGTAGCTCACTTGATTGTGAAACACATCCGCAGACCGCTAGGGCTGAAGTCATGTGTGAGGTGGTGCTTGTGGTGTGTTAAGAGGAAGCGCTTCGCTGACAGAGGCTTGGACACATGAAGACGCTGCTGCTGTGATGAGTGAAGATGTCTCCACAGAGAGTGTTCGCGCTGCCCAGACAGCGTTCCCTGCTGCTGCCCGCCGTCATCAACCCATTCGTGCACGACCTTAAGTTAACCAAAGCCGATCAAATCAAAGTGAGTGCTGCTCTCCATTTATGACATGCCTGTCAATATTATTCTTCACTGACGTCATTCAGGTCTTCATCGTATTAATGTATTCACTTCTATATGATTTGCCTATGATCCGTTTTCCTTTGCATTGCATGAACTCTCTTATTTTCTCCTTCCTCGATAATTGATCAATCTTACTGGTTGAATAGGGAAAAGGACTAGCAAATGCTCTCAACAAATGTAGAAAATGTTTAATTAGTGAGATTAGTAAACAAATGAGAAATGCAGTTCCCTCTGTGCTGCCGAACGTGTTTAAATTATGTTACTTCTCGTATGTTACAATTTTAAACAGTGTTACCGTTTTTGTAATAAGGGAAAATCACGCAGTAACGCAGTTCACAACATGTGGTAGAGAGAATGTTATAAATGTTGCATTTCTGATCATTTAAAATAGTTAATAAGATGTTTTTACTACAGTATAGAATACCAATCTAATAGATAGTGGGACATTATGGTATGCTTTTAATTGTTGAACACAATCAAGATCTCTGACACTGTTTAAAATGAGCTAGTTTACATGCTAGGTCGGTGTTTCTCAACCTTTCCCAACACAGTATTTGAGGTAACCCAACCCCCTCTTCTATGCTTAGCTATTTTAGTTTTTTTTTTTTTTTACTATAATTATGTCAAAGATGCTTTTTCAAACTATTTTTGTTTTCTGATTCCAGACATTTTAAAAAGTGTATGTTCTTCAATAAAAGTATAAAAATATATATTATCTTTACTTATTATTATTTTTAATTTATTTTATTTAGATGAGTATATATATACTACAGGGTTGTTGAATGCTTGAATCTGATTGGTTGACTAATGTTTTCCAGACAGGTCTTGACTGCATTCCATGTCCACATAATACTTTTAAGTCATCCTGTAGCCAAATACCAACTCTGACGACGCAGTGTTAATTATATATATATATATAAACTTTTTCCTTTTCTATTTGTTTTATATGTCAGTGCTTAGTAATGTGCCACTGATTGTGCGTGCGTCTATTAATCATTTTGAGTCTAATATCATCCCATAGGTTAACTTGTAGACAAGAGAATAACAACTATAGGGCACATAGTGGCTACTACATGGCTAATAGGATTATGTCCCTAAGAGGTGGGGTGTAAACACACCGGCTCTGTCTCAAAAACCTACTGAGCTACCTAGTTACACAACGTTTTAGGACATTATAAGCGCATTTCGGGGCAGCCGGTTCGCACACCGAAACACTTATCAGACTCCTGAGATGGCCATCATGGCCAAAGTTGCATGCAGCACGCGCCTTGTCTATGATTAACAATTGCTTTCTAGTTAGGTAGCTCACTTGATTGTGAAACACATCCGCAGACCGCTAGGGCTGAAGTCATGTGTGAGGTGGTGCTTGTGGTGTGTTAAGAGGAAGCGCTTCGCTGACAGAGGCTTGGACACATGAAGACGCTGCTGCTGTGATGAGTGAAGATGTCTCCACAGAGAGTGTTCGCGCTGCCCAGACAGCGTTCCCTGCTGCTGCCCGCCGTCATCAACCCATTCGTGCACGACCTTAAGTTAACCAAAGCCGATCAAATCAAAGTGAGTGCTGCTCTCCATTTATGACATGCCTGTCAATATTATTCTTCACTGACGTCATTCAGGTCTTCATCGTATTAATGTATTCACTTCTATATGATTTGCCTATGATCCGTTTTCCTTTGCATTGCATGAACTCTCTTATTTTCTCCTTCCTCGATAATTGATCAATCTTACTGGTTGAATAGGGAAAAGGACTAGCAAATGCTCTCAACAAATGTAGAAAATGTTTAATTAGTGAGATTAGTAAACAAATGAGAAATGCAGTTCCCTCTGTGCTGCCGAACGTGTTTAAATTATGTTACTTCTCGTATGTTACAATTTTAAACAGTGTTACCGTTTTTGTAATAAGGGAAAATCACGCAGTAACGCAGTTCACAACATGTGGTAGAGAGAATGTTATAAATGTTGCATTTCTGATCATTTAAAATAGTTAATAAGATGTTTTTACTACAGTATAGAATACCAATCTAATAGATAGTGGGACATTATGGTATGCTTTTAATTGTTGAACACAATCAAGATCTCTGACACTGTTTAAAATGAGCTAGTTTACATGCTAGGTCGGTGTTTCTCAACCTTTCCCAACACAGTATTTGAGGTAACCCAACCCCCTCTTCTATGCTTAGCTATTTTAGTTTTTTTTTTTTTTTACTATAATTATGTCAAAGATGCTTTTTCAAACTATTTTTGTTTTCTGATTCCAGACATTTTAAAAAGTGTATGTTCTTCAATAAAAGTATAAAAATATATATTATCTTTACTTATTATTATTTTTAATTTATTTTATTTAGATGATGCAAAACACAGCACATAAAAGAGAGGGTGTATTGTGTCTATGAATAGGTATTATCCACACCACTAAGACTTTATCCCTTTGAGGGACTTTATCCCTTTGATACATTTATTTAAATATATATAAAAAAAAAACTGTTTGCAGTAGGCTACATTAATTTAGTGGGTCAGAGTGATTATATTTATTATTGTATTATGTAAGATCTATAGAGTAGGCTGGTTTGCCTCAATGGTCCAACAGCGCCTGTCAATGTCAAAATGATCGAGATGGCCAATCAAATCAAAGAAGGCGGGTCTTACTGTCACTGTCACATCACAACGAGAGTTTGTGGAAAGATATAAGTAGTACTGTATTAGAAAACTGTTTTACAATAGAAATGTTCAGGGACCAACAGTAATAGACTATCTAGTGATGCAAACTTCTCAACTTTTTATGAAATTTTGCCGTTTTGAATTGAAAATATGCGATCACGATTCATGTAAATTATAAATGAACGTGACAAGAGATTTTTACGTTTTCGACTATTAGATATACGAATAAGAGTGAATGTGCACATTTTAAAATAAAATATTATTTTCAAATAGTGTAAATTGATTACTACTTCATATGAAGAGTTCAGATGCAAAAGCCTCTAAGTGTCGTTTGAAATTTTCTTCTAAAATGAGCATTTGAAATTTTAGATGGCCCTTAGAGGCTTTTGCATCTGAGCTCTTCATATATAACTACAAATTTATTTTAGCATTCTTATTTACTTTTTTAATTGCTTTATTATTATTATTATGCAGTAGATCTTACAATTCTTATGAGCGGGTGCGTGACCGTGATTCGTGCGCAAGCATGTCAGTGAGCACGGCATCACAATCGATCAGATGCGTGTTAAAGATGCGTTCGTTAGTATAGCCCCCCCCCCCCCACACACACACACACACACACACAAAATTGCTGAGGGCCTCGCACCCCCCTTGTGACGGCCCTGCTGATGAGCCAAAAAGGATTTTTTCATTGGTTTATTGGCATTTAAAATAAGACATGCGGTCTGACTAAATTCTCATCTTCCTCCTTACACGTTGAGACATCTCTGCATGCTTAGTGTTGTAGATCGCTTTCTTAGATAAGCTTGGTTTTGAGACCCTTTTGTAGTATGTCATACAAGAAATGCAGTTGCACAGTCATGCATATAAAGAGAGCAATGCTTCCTGAAATGCTGTTGGTTTGGATCCTCACCACCAGTTCCTGTTTTAGGGCCAGACTACTGCTGCTCACACTCTGTCAGCTCTATACTACAGTGGAGGTTGAGGTCTGTGAGAAACATTTGTGTATTTCATGATAATATGCTCAGCATTTTTGCACCTTTAATGAAGAAACATGAATGACAAACCTAATCCCACATACTATATAGCTAATCTCCAAAAAGTAAAGTATATGTATTGCATTTGTGTTTTAGTTTCTGCCCCCTCGAATTCCTACTGAGATGGAGAAAAAGTGTCCTATCAAGTTTGCTCAGTCAGTGAGAGCTGTGATGGCTGAGTAAGCGCGCCTTGTTGCTATTTATTCTTCTGTGCCTTTATATTTATTGGATATTTACGATGTGTACACAATACAATATTTCAGTGTTAATGGTCGTCACAATTTCACAAAATCACAATTTCTCACTCTGTCACTAGGTCTCTGGGCCTGCCGGTCACAGACCACACCTACGAAGATTGTCGTCTGATGATTGCAGCTGGAGAACTGACCCTGCCTATGGAGGCAGGTCTTGTGGAGTTTACCAAGATTAGCAGGAAATTGGAGTATGACTGTATATATATATTTTTTAAAATACATATCTTTGTTATTAGTAAACATTTTGAGGCTGGTATCCCACATGACACACAATTTAAGCTTCTTGTAGTTTAAGCTTAAAATCTTTGTTTCTGTTGTAACTCCAGATTAAAATGGGACAATGTAAAGAAGGAATTGGAGAGTTTTGCCAACATAGCCTGTTCTTGCAAAGGCGGCAGGATCACAATTGAGGAGTTTGCTGGCTTTCTCAAACTGCCTGTCAGCCCAGCTCTACAGGAGCTCTTCGCTCTGTTTGACAGGGTGAGTTTGTCTATAAGTAACCGCATGGAAAAGAGCGTCACTTAGATCCAGAACAGAAGCTAATGTATAAAATGCTCTCAGATAACTGCATTTGGTAATGTTTCCAAAACAACAAATCTACAGTAAATCTATGGTACTGGATGACTCTAACGGCATTATATTTTATTCACAGTGTGGCCTGTTTGAAGCATATGTTTTCTCTTTGTAGAATGGCGATGGCACCATTGATTTCAGAGAGTATGTCATTGGTGTCACAGTTTTGTGCCGCCCAGCTAATAATGAGGAAGTCATTCAGACTGTTTTTAAGGTAATGATATCACAGGTAGCACTGATGTTAATGTGAAATAAATATCACAATGAAATCTCAAAATGTGATTGTGCAAAGATTAAAAGAAAACATTTTGTGGTGTGGTTAGTGCCATTGGTTGTTAACACCTTGAGGTGGTTTACAAAAAAAAATCTCGAACTTGACAAAAAGAAAGTCAACAGTAGAACATTACTATGTGGGAGTACTATTGTGTGATTTATTGTCAAAAAATGGTCATGTGTATCATGTGTCTGTGAATTCTTTCTACAGCTGTTTGACATTGATGAGGACAACTGTATCACACAAGAGGAGTTTAGTGGTTTGCTGCGTTCTGCTCTTGGGGTGTGTGATCTTGACGTCCACAGCCTTTTCAGAGAAATTGATGCAGATGGATCAGGACACATAACTTATGGTGTGTATGCCAACTGTATAGCAACTACCACAGTGATAAAACTGTCAGTCATATTAATAGTGCTATCATTCAGAGAATACTTCTTTTATTCCCACTTTTTATTAGGTGGCCTTAACTACTATGTACTTACATTTAAATGAATCATTTGGTACAGTGCACATATTGTGCACATACATGTTTTTACATTTGAAAAAATATCTGCATGTAATTACATTTGTAATTGATTTCTCTGTAATTACACTGTTGGCCCATTCCTTTCACCTTAACCCACCCTTAAACCTACCCAAACCACCAAACCTGTCCCTAACGTTACCCATATCCCACCTCAATAGCAGAAAAGGTGTATACAATAAGTAAATTTTTGATGCAAGTACATAGTAGTTAAGGCCACCTAATATAAAGTGGGACCCTTCGTTTTTTTCAACCATGGTGTATGAAATTTAGCAAACAAATAACACTATTAGAACTGCTACTATTATAACCAAGTGTTCTGTGTCATGATAGATATATTTTATATCCATTTGGTATGTTTTTTTAGATTTGTACATAGAAACACAATTCACAGGAATGTGGTTGTCTAGTTTTTCAATTTAGTTATTGTGAAAGTTGTGAAACCCAATTGTTGCTTGTAAGACTGAACTGAACTACACACCGGCCTAACACTGGCAATGTTAACTTGTATAGGTTGTATTAAGCAAATTACTCAATGCTAAATTGCATTATACTAACATCATCTTTACTAAACTAATCTTATTGATTTGAAAATATATTTAGGCATAATTGTTCCAATAAATATTTAAATACAACTGCTCAGTGAGGACTCTACAAAATGTAAGACATTACAGATATTACAGCAATATTTTCCTGTGAAGCTGCTTTTCAAACATGGATTTGACTTGACTTGAAAATCTAGGGAGTATTACAGTCCAAATCCCTTAATACAGATCATTTCATGTCATGATTTAACTGAACCTTGACTTTGGGCTGTCTGTTGCATGCATTCAGCAAGCAGGAACTAGCAGATTTCTTAGTCTGAATGCTGTTTTTTTCAATATAGGTTTTTCAACAGAAGTTTCCACAATAATTTAAGGTATTTAAAAAGCATCACCCCAGGGCCCAAGGCTTTTTCTGCAAATGAAAGTATCATGGTTAGCAGCACATGATTCCATGCTGTGTATGTAAACGCCTTGGAAAATATTTGTGTGTGGACTCATGAACACTTTCGAGTGAAGGCTTGTTGTTGTTTGTCTAATCTATCAGTTGTCAAGGTTGAATCATGACTGGGACTGGTCTTTTTTAATACTTGCAGAAAGTTGTCATGAAGTGTGAGTTGATTTCAGCTGCATGCCAAATTAAATCAAGGATGTTTTGACACAGTGTCTGTTGTACATATGCTATTTACCATAGCATATTCATATTAAGTTATTCATTCATTAATGCCCGCCACACTTACTTGATTAGTGTGGTTTCTTTTTGAGTATCAAAAGTATAAATCTGTTGTAACTTTCCTTTCTCTATTTGTCTCTCAGATGAGTTTTGTTCCTTCGCTCTCACCCACCCGGAGTATGCCAAGCTCTTCACCACCTACATTGAGCTACAGCGTTACCAGGGTCTCCAGGGGGAGGAACTAGATTTTGATGCCAGTTTGTCTCAGTGCTGTACTGCCTCTCATAATAACCACCAAGAGGACAGTACCTCTGATAAGAAAGATGACTGACAGCATGCAGCCATAAGGTTCATATTCTGCCACGTCATTTGAACACCTGCCTTAAGCTTGGGTGGAGGGATTTTGTACACATGCGTATGCCCTATCAGCAGTTTTCTGTTTACACCACCAAGTATTTCATAAACTATTCAGTGGTTTATTTAAAGGGTTTCAGATCAATGTTAATGCTTACAGGCATGCTAAAACATTTTGGTAACACTTTAGAACAGGGACCATTTCTCACTATTAACTAGTAGCTTATTAGCATGCCTACTGTTAACATACTGGCTGTTTATTAGTACTTAAAGCACATATTCTGCATGACCATATTCTACATCACTAATCCTACCCAATACCAAACCTAACAACTACCTTACTAACTATTAATAAGCAGCAAATTAGGAGTTTATTGAGGCAAAAATCATAGTTAATGGTTGGTTAATCGTAAGAATTGGACCTTAACATAAAGTGTGAACAAACTGTCTTAATCTGCAGCTAAAAAGTGAATTGTATTGTTATAACACCCCTGAGCTTTTTAGGCATGAAGCTTGTAGTTCCAATTCCATTTTTATGCATTTTATTTTAGAAAGTCTAATAAAAAAAAAAAATTATATAAAAAAATAAATAATAATAAATAAAAAATATTATTTAAATATTATTATTTTAAAAATATTATTAAAATATATATATATATATTATTTGATAATATCTAAATTGAAAAAAAATATTTTGTGATTACATTGGAGATCATCTGCTTGTGTGTCTTTTATGGAAATGTGGACATTTTTTTAAATGAATATTTTACAAAAGAGATTCTTATACAAATACAAAGTTTCTTTTCTTTTTTCCTTTCTCTTCCTTTTTTCCCCTTTTCTGCTCAGGGATGTTGGTACAGAAAGTGAGTTGGAATCAAAGGTTTTGCTTTGCATCTTGTTTTTTATTTGCATTCCCATTGAGGCGAGATGTTGCTGAGTTAGCGTTCTGTCCCTGCTGCTTGTTCAGACTAATACTCTGTTGCATCCACTGAAAATAGGCCAATTTGTGAGCAAACAGGCAACACAACACGCCCACAGTAGCATGCACCAAAGGGCTTGGTTCCAAATTATCCCTCTGCAGTGGTATTTATTTAGCAATGCAGGTTGCAATTATGATTTTGTTAACACAGCAAAGTTAGCTTTTTTTGCAATTAAAAATATTCTTTGAATTTTAACTAGTATCTGTTGTCCCCTTTATGTCTGAGTGCATGAACACTTGTTAGAAGAGTTTGTACACTCTTGTGAATTATCAGGAGATACAGAAGAAAAACTGCTGATTAGCAGCCTGCTAAGAAATACTTTCATACTGAAAACTTCCACTAGGTGACAGCAACTCCTAGTTTATACAGAAAGCCGATCGTCTGCATAAACCTTTAGTGAATTTGCAAATAATGGAAATGTACATCCACAATAGTGCATGTGTACAAAATTAGAAATAATAAAATTAAAAATCCCCTTTGTCACTTCTCTGCGGTCACAAGGGATTATAAAATATCATATAATTGAGGTCAAAGGTCATGTTTCACCATCTGTGGTGTTACTCAACTCTGTCCAAATTAGCAGCATAAGCCTCTACAATCTGAGTTCACACTTGGATGTCATAATGTCACAAAGACTGTCAGGTATAGTCAACATCAATGCAGGCTTTTAGGGCACATAGTGGTCATAAAGGGTCCATTCTTCAAAATGACAAACAAGACAACCTTTCTGTGTCCAGAAGTTTAGGCAGTTGACTTGTTGCCTCGCTGGCCTGTCAGGCAATGACTTTGCAGGCAGCGTTTGGGCACGTATAGGTATCTCACAAAACTGGACAAGCTTCTGAGGAAGCATAATTTTTTAATTAGCACATTTTTAGTGGTGATGTAATTTTTCTCTTGATAGCAAAATTGAGAGAGGTTTGGTGATAACTAAGTGTATATTTAATTACTACTACAATTCTAATTTCTTGCCATCAATAAAATCAAAAGTTCAAAAAACAATACATTTTCAAATACATTTACACACAAACTCACCACCAACTGCAACATTCAGACACCATTTATGTTTAGCTCAACTGTCACAGAATTGAGTGCACTGTATAGGCAGTGAAGGATAAATCTGCTGCCTCCAAAAATCAAGACCACCAAACCACCATTTAGAACAGGGCCTTAAAATTACTTTGATTCAGCATAGTCAAACACAATGCCTGCAACGCCTTTCCATCAGCGTAGGATGAAATATCTGTCCTTTTAAATATTATAAAGGAGGTTGGTAAAGGAGAAACAAGTTCATCATTAAGCAGTTTCTGTAATGTACATTCTGGTGTGCTGAGCTGCAGTATATCAAAACCAAGTCAATCAGTAAGAGTACTCAGCAAGTGACTTGCAGTGCTTTTGTCAATATAATATCATCAGAGGGCAGGTCAGGGACGACGATATGATGATGTCTTATGAGCAGCTAATGTTCTCTCTCTCTCATCTTGATACAGCAGGATGAAGGATGGGATTGCACTCACTTCATTAAAGTCCTGCTGCTCCACACGCTGTGATAACCAGCTGTGATTTCCACCGTCAATTTGTTTTAACCTTTTCAAACATGACGGGGACATTTCATTCAATTCAATTCATTTAATCACAATTGATGAGATTGCATGGAATCAATTAAGTCACATTGTTGTTACCATTTCTTTCTCTCCATCTCTCGCTGTCTCCATGTCCATCTTTCTTCCGCAATCTCTTTCTCCCTTCTTTTGCTCACAATATTGCAGCATTCATTTTTATTTCAGCCTGAGGTGAGCCTGCCTAGTCAAATTGTGGGCAATCAGCCCAAGTAATCGGGTTTTATTTGCACAAGACCAAACAAGAGTTAGCTGTTAGGGCTTTGGCTGGGCGGTCTGTGCTGGAACAGATGAGGGGGCTGATCAGGGGATCGTCTGAAAAGGTCAGTGCCGACAGGCTACACTGTTAATTGACGGGTTGCAAAATAGCTGCAAATCACAGACCCTTCACTCCCACTGTATGTGTAGACAATGTATACATCAAATACTTTTCCCTTAGAAGGAAATGTATAGCATACTGCATCTTTTCTCTTTCTTCTCTCTCCCTAGATCTTAGCTTTAATTTGTTTGTCAAAATGTCCGAATGGGGCTTTAAATCGCTGTATTTTATCACTTTCATTTCCTTCTCGCTTTCTTTTTTTTCCATTTTGAGCCATCATGCCTACAGAGCACGAGGCCCTGACCTTGGAAAGAAGCATCTTAAAGTTCCTCTTAGTGAGAGCACATATAATGCATGCATTAACCTTTCGCCAACCGCTGGATGAATTCATGCTAATGTACTCAAGTCTATTCTCTCAGACAGGACAAGCAAAGCACAACATTCAATTTCATCACCACACCTGCTTTTGTTTTTGTATGACATGTAGTATGTTGCTCATAAAAAGATGATGTAATATAGTGCACAATGCACTGATGTTAAGGCCTAGAGATTGTTAAGTAGATTCCTTGTGGCAAGGCATTAATTCTTGCTAAAAAAAAAACTTCCCTTATACTTTTTCAAATACGTATACTACTGTTTAAAATATTTTTTAGAGTAAAAACAGTAATACTGTGATATTATTGCGATGTAAACAGTTTTCTATTTTAATATATTTTAAAATGTAATTTATTCCTGTGAGTGCAAAGCTGAATTTTTAGCTGGCATTACGTGATCACATGATCTTTCAGAAATCATTCTAATATTGCTGATTTGGTGCTCGAGAAACATTTCTTACTAGTTGAAAATTATTTTGCTGCTTCATGTTTTTAGGGAAACCGTGATATAGCCTATTTCTTCACAGCTCTTTGATGTACTGTATAGAAAGTTCAGAAAAGCTGCGTTTATTTGAAATGTATTAGAATTACGTATTGTGTAAAGCTACAGCTTTTAAACTGTGTTACTATGAGTCACAATGTGACAGAAATACAATTTTTGATGATGAGGAAATTGGATATAAGGAAGTTCTTCACTTGTGTATCTGTCATGACAGTTGTGACACAGATCAATTAATACTGATGTTTAGTGCAATTGAAAGCTGTATGCTGCTGGGTTTTGTAGGCAAGAATAGTTGTGAGTGAATTGTTCATTCTGCCTAAAACTATCATGCATGCCTTTGCACTCTTAATGAACAAAAAAATATTACTCATAACTTAATTGATACTCTGAAAAACAGGTCCCAAAACAACTGTCAACAAGTCTGGCAACTCATTTAATTACAGATCTTCTACAACACAACTGTAGTGTGAACTAGAGCAATGTACGTCAACATTGGGATTAGGATTGATCTCATGCTGAATGAAAATTAATGTGTACATGTGTTTAATGGTCAATTCATGCTTTGTAAAACACTGAAAAGTAGGTTTATTGATCCAAGATTATATCCAAACTACATGTAAATACAACAAAAAGGGCCAATGTGATCCTAGCTCATCAGTCCTAAATGACATGCATAACCTAACATGCATAATATTCGTGATATTGATCTGTCACAGAACTGGAAACGGCATAATTAGGGGAATTCAAGAATACTAATGTTTTGACATCAAAGTCCTTATTTAGTGTAATAAGTGGCATTTTATTGTGAGCCCTGGCACCGTTGATCATCTTTGAGTTTCATTTAAATAAAATGAATTGTACCCTGAACTGGTGTATAGATTTACGATGCAAAATCCATTTTATGTAAATAGTCGGTTTAAATGATAGATTGTGATTCTCAATATGAGGTAGGTTTCACACTCTAAAGTGAAACTGACTCTTCAGGTCAGAGGTCAATGATTGTGTTTATAGTGTGATTACAAGATGCCCTCAGATATTGTAGTGGCTCATATAGCAGACAATACCAGTCCTTACTCAGATGGAGACTAATTGCAATACTGATGCAAAATATGCAAATATACTTTATGCTTCAAGGAACGGTTGCTTTGCTCTAAAGGTGACCTTCTTTAGCATCACCCTCTCCCACATATATGGCAACATCCTGAAATAGAAATTAGAGATTCCAGTTCCTTTGGAGGAAGAATATGTGTAAGGAACAAATAAATCAGCCTCTAAAACCCTGTTGCTTACTTTTGTTATCTAATCTGAACCAGAATATGTACAAAACTGCACAAAAACAGGCCTGTAAAGGTTTCATAAAAGAAACGCTGGAGAGCTTTAAGGGGACATTCATTGACTTTAATGGGATGAACTGATTGCCCATATC